CATCCCTCAGTGGCTTGAGTTTGGATAAGGTTAAAAAGCCACTACATACAATGACAATATTAAGACTGACTTCTAGCAGTGTCAACATCTTTCATTAAGTCACTAGAGCTTTAATGAGACACTTGAGCTTGCTTGTGATTCAAAAACAATGAAAACGATTTCTATTTGGATAGAAATTGAAATCCCTAATCTTTCTCAGACCTCCTGCAATCCCCTAAAGTACCCCTAGGGGTCCTCGTACCACAGGTTGGGAACCACTGACTTTAGGGGAAGTGACTGTTATTTTGTATATAAGGAATGTTGTGCTTTATGTATGTCTTTAATGTGTGCATATGAACAAACGTGTCTATATCGATCTCTCCGTCTGTACAAACAAACAGAAAGATTGACAATAAGGTGACTTTGACAAACCCAAAGGATTGTTTCTGTAATCTGAAGTCACGTTGGATCAGTCGCTCACCTCTTTCTGCGCCTCCTCGAACTTTGCGAAGGCCACAAACAGGTGTTCGTTCACGTAGTCCTCCCCGAAGAAGTCCACCGACCGCTCGTACACCTTCCTGCTGTGAGCGATGTAGCCGTGCTTCTCCTCAAAACGAGCGTACTTTATCCAGTTCTTCACCTCGGGGTGAACGAGGACGAGTGCAGAGGAGTCAAGGAGCTTCTCACCACAAACAAGAAGCATTTTCAGGCAAAGAAACACCAATTAGTCCCTGGTTTCGCGAGGATTTACGGCTTTACTCTGGTTCACTGTTACTTAAATATCTTTGGGTATTCGAGTGTTGATCGGACACAACAAGACGTAGGGCTGCTCGATTATGGCAAAGAACATAATCTCGATTATTTGGGTCAATAATTAATATCTCGATTATTAAAAACGATTATCCATTTACTTTGAAAATATAAATTTATTGGAGAAAAAAATGTGACCTGTGTGTTTTTAACAGTTGATTCCCCTGAACGTTAAGTATAATTCAACTGAAATACCAAAAATAATAATAATAAAATAATAATCGTTTTATTTAGATTACGTTGTTTTTCGTAAGCGTTGCAAGCCATAATCGTAATTGCGATGAATTGAGCAGCCCTAACAAGACGTGTTTAAGATTTTATCTTGAGTTCTTGGGGAATAGTGATGGATATTTCTCACTAATTACCTTTGTTTGGACGAAGCCATTAAACCAATAACTGGGGAAAATATAATCACATCAGAAAACAACCATGTGTAAAATATTCTGCACACTTTTAACAAACACCTTTCTGTGCAGTTAAAAATAAAAATAGAGGGTAAAAGAAAGTGTTATATGCAGCCCTGATTAGGATGAACTCAACTTTATTTATGTTTCTGAGAAAATAACATAACTTGCCTTTTTTTGTTTATTTTGTAATTATCACCTTCCCCTGTGCCGTCCTTATTGATCGCTCTGGTTTTAATTTAGCATAAAAACCTCCTCCTCTCAGCGGATACATATTCCTGAGTTTCTAGAAGTCCATGTTGACGCCTTTTCAAAAACAGACATTTCTAACGTGTTATCTTTCAAATGATTAGATTCACTCTGAGTAGTTAGGGTGGAGTGAAGCGATGCAGCTCGTGTGGTTCATCAATATAACATTAAATTATTTCCACACTTAAAAAAAAAAAAAAAAATAATTTACAAGAGTCGAAACTAATCAAAACAAAAAGGCAAAAATCTAATAAAATGCTAAGGAAAACGTAGATAATTTTTTTTCCGTAGATAATAAACATTAAAATAATTCAATTGTGTCTAGTTGGCGTCTTCCACACAGGTTGCCTACACGAGTCTCTTGGCATTGTGGGAATTGTAGTCTTTTATCTTCACTAAAAGACTACAAAGTTTAACATGAGGTACCAATAACCTTTTGCACGAAACACAAACGGTCTGCAACACTTTGATTTATCTATCTGAATAGTCTTGAGTAACGGTACGTCCACACAGCAGCTTTGAACAAATCTTGAAAATCTTGGAGCTGGGCGTGTCTGAGAGCTTGGGGATTTTTTGCGAGCAACGCGACCAACAACCAATCACATGAATCTCCCGCCCCCGGCATACAAAGCAAAAAACCCCGGGGATTTAATGCGAGCAGTATATATATATATATAAAATCCCCAAACAGGCGAAAACCTACCAGTTTCACCCACTGTCTCTGCCACCTCCCTCCATGCCTGGTTCCTCCTGTTTGTATCCCGGTAAACAGTTCTGGTTGTAAAGAACCGGGTGATTTGCTACCGTAATTTTTCTCGTTCGGAATATGAAGAATTGAACTGCGGTCTGGCTCTCCTAGCTTGCACGCGGTTTGATTGGCTAGTGCTTCCAGCTCAGCTTCAAAAGTTGAACATTGCTCAACTTTTGAATCCTGAAAATCCTGGAAATATTCGCTTTGCTTCCCCACAATGCAGTTCGGCGAAAAGCGAGGCAAAGTGACGTCACCCCCATTCAAAGTGAATGGGCAGAAGCGTTGGAAGATTTTTTTAAAGCTGTGTGGACATAAGAAGTACTTAGGCGAGAGTTAAAGCACGAGTGGGTAATATGATGTTGTTGTTTTGTTTTGCTATGTTTGTTTACATCCTGACAGAAATACAATAAATCATATGCTCTGAAAACACATTTGAAAGGATATATCTCTCGTAAATACTGCGGCCTTTGTCCACTTCCTTGTAGCGCAGCTCGAAGTTGATGAAGGAGTGCCAGGCCTGCTCGTCGGGCTCCCACTCCATCCAGCGCTCGAACGCCTGCCTGCAGCCCGCCACGTTCCCCAGCATCTCCTCCATGTACGTGTACTTGTACCTGTTACCGGAAACAAAGGGAAAGCCATTGAAGCACAGGAAGGTATGTGGATAACTTAATACAGAGAGGAGAAGCTACAAAGACAGTTTGAGTCACACACATGGAGCGAGCTTTGTGGAGTTTCAAACGTACATTCTTTGCTCTTATCGCATCGCTCTAAGCGCTCGAGTTTCACCGCGGCTGTCAGCTGTGTTTACTCGCATCATTCAAACAAGACTCGCTGGCTAGGGAGCTACAACTACAACAACATAAACATATTTGACCGTGATTAAATTGCATTAGACGTTTCAAGATCATGCCGAAGTAACAACATACTGATACCGGTTAGTAAAAACCATGAATGAATGCTTTGACAAGTCCGCAGACTTGTTGTTGCGAAGGTTGTTATGCCACACGTACCAGAACTGGTTGACGCGGGGGAGGATGGTGATGGCTCGGTCCCAGATGTTTCGGGCGTGGTTCACCTGTCGGCTCTTCATCTCCATCTCGGCGTATTTCAGCCACAGCGTGATGTTTCTGTGATCCACGTCCAGCGCTCGCTCGTAGATGGAACGAGCCCTGAAACCAGAGGAGGAGGAGGAGGAGGTGAGGGAAACGTATAAAGCACAGGGGGAAATGGAATAAAACGTCTTCCTGGCTTTGGGTAAAATACCTCTGGACCTCCTTCAGGCTTTCCTCCCATTGTGCGTATTTGATCCAGTTACTGATGACCGTTCGGTTCTTTCTGATGTTGTCCTCAAACCCCTGAGAGACAAGGAGGAGAATGGTTCGAAACAAGGTTAAAAGAAAACACCAAACTTGTCTTTTTAAGGAGTTTTGAGCAAACAAAAGTCTTAGTTAGATTAGATGTACTTTATGGTCAATTGGGAGAAAATGTTTTGTGTTGCAGCAGCATAAAGCAAAACTTTGCACATCATATAAAATCTAAAAACTGACAATAAAAAAAGACATGATCTCACACTTGGAGAATCTTATATCTTATATGATAATCTTATATGTTTTGGTCAGGTGTCAGCACTCACCTTCCTCTTCCTCAGTTTGTAATCGTTCAGCTCCTCTTCATCAGTGATCTTCTGTTTGGGTGGCGGTGGCAGAAGTTCGAGCTCTCTCTCTTTGGCTTCCCTCAGCAGCTGCTCAGCTGTGATCTGAACCTCTGCTGGAGCTTTGTTCTTCACCTGAAACACAGCAAGACGTTTTATACATGATGTGTCTGCAGACATGGGCATGATGTCTTTACAGTGCTTCAATCATTATAATCATATCATATATATTATTCTGAAATGGACCAATCTGCACAATCACTACTTTTACTGTCGCTACTTTCACTATATTTTGATGAGAATACTTTTCTACTTTTACTGAGTAACATTTTGAATGCAGGACTTTTAATTGTAACAGAGTATTCCTACACTCTGGTACTTCTACTTTTACTCAAGTACAAGATCTGAGCACTTTTACTTTTAGTAGTATAAGATCTCAGTAATTCTACTTTTACTCAAGTACAAGATCGGAGTACTTCTACTTTTACTCAAGTACAAGGTCTGAGTATTTCTACTTTTACTACAAGATCTGAGTACTTCTACTTTAACTAAGTACTATATCTGAATACTTCTACTTTTACTCAAGTACAAGATCTGAGTACTTCTACCCACTTTGTTTACAGTAAAAAACACATGAAACCCAATCAAAACGCAGCATGTCGGACAAACTACTACAGATATGAAAGGTAGTGTACTGTTTCACAGGTAATGCAGTTTCCTGAAAGCTAGGATTAACGTTACCATTCTAAAACAACAATATAATATATACTTGTATTCTTATTTACATAAACATACAATCTGTGGTCTTCACTTAACGCTTTGCTAAATTCAACTCCAGTGCTATCTATTTGTTAGCATTAGCTTAGCTCCGGAGCTCATGGCTTTTTTATTTGTTGTTTTGTTTTCTTACCTTCGCCACCTTCGGGATCCGCTGCTTGCCTGCCGCGGTTGAAGCCATCTTTATTGGCAGGTTAAACCCCCAAAAAACACCAGAAAACAATTAAAATGCTTCGAAAACCACAAAACTTCAAACTGGAAACAAACGTTTTACAAACATCAGGCGCGAGCCGCCATGACAGTACCCAGAATGCTTTGCGGGTTGCATTCGGGTGTTGTTATAACAATCGGTAGAAATGACTTCCTTGATGGGAAAATCCAAATTGATGTGACAACGCGACGAAAAGTTTGTTACACAAAATCCGATTTGACATCACAATACGCAAAGCAATGGAGAACAAACATACATGTTGGGTTGATGGTAAGACACGTTTTATTAATTTGCGTATTGCATTGTTTTATTTATTTTTAACATGATGTTATTTAAAATGTGGTAGTAAATTGTTGTGAAATTGTAACCGGCCTTTTGCAATCGATGTTGCTGCGTGACCTAGATTAGTAAGACACGCAAGACATTATCCTTTCCCTTGTTTAAAAGCAAGAGTAAATCTATACTTTAGTGGTTTATGGGTTTTTAATCTAAAAGTTTGGGGCGAAACTAAGTAGGAAGAACGACTTTCAAACTCGGGACACGAGAACGTCCGAGCAGCACCTGAATGCACCATAGCACCATGGTTGAAAACGGTGCAGCGTTCTGTTACTATGGTTACGTAGTTTGTGTGAGCTAACGGCTAGCTTAGACTACAACAGAAAATGTTCCGTTAACTTAACAGTTTATCGAGCTAACTGCTATGTTCACTTTCTAATTTCAACTACAAGCTATTGCAAGGTTTGTCAATAAATGTAACTTTGTTGTTTATTCAGGGACTGTGACAGACAGGTGAGTAACAGGTGTTCTGGTCTGGCTAACATCTAGATTTTAACTAGCTAGCCTAACAAGCTAATGCTAAACCAGCATTCATTTTTTACTAAATATTTGTTAAATACCCATTTAGCTCTGATAGCCTTTTCATTCACTGTTTACTATATTGAAAATGAGGTTTGGTGTCAGCCCATCAACTTTTATGAGTATGAAATGTCCTTAAAAATACAATTATCTGTACAAAACAAACAATTGTTGTGCAATGTTGGGATGAAACTAACTATGATTACATAGAAACTGATAGTTAGTTTTAATATAATATTAATATAACTGTAATGTTATGTGTATATATTCACTATTATTTACAGCTACAGCAGTAACATGCTTTTACAACAATGTTTAGAGTAATCCAATATACATTATATAAGTGTAAAAGGGACATTTTTGTACTTTTAATATTTGAAGTTATTTTGTATTGTATAAACTTTCCACACATTCACCTAAGTATAATTTTAATGCAGGACTTTCACTTGTAACAGAGCTTTTTTACACTGTGGTATTAGTATGTTTACACTTTACTAAAGGATCCAAAATCTTCCTGCACCACTACTTACATCACGCTAACATACATCATTAATGTTGTTTATGTTATCATGCCTGACCTGATCCAGTGCTCTATTAGGAAAAGCAGTGAGTCCAGGTGAAGATGAGGACGATAACTTCCTCCAGTGGCCAGGAGGAAGCTGTGAATGTCAGAAGGACGGAGTCAGCCGACGCTCAGGGGATCAACGGCCTCATCAGCCCTGAAGCTGGAGCAGTGTTTGGACGAGTCAACGTGATCCATCTGCTGTGAGACACAACACTTCTTTGTTTAGTGTCTTAAGTATATATTTCAGAGAGTACTTACCAGGATTTCTAATAAGAGGTTCACCTAGGCTTTGATAATGTCAGCTGTACATGATTTTGATAATCATTAAGATAAAAACATGACAACATACCATAGAGAGTCCTGGCCCAACAATGGTAACAGCACAGTTACAGACCATTTTAAAACACACAGTCATACAACAGTTAGCCAAAGCATTTACAGCCACGGTGGCTTCTTCAAGATCACGTATCTTGTTATTACGTAGTTTATCTTAACTCACTTGCTACTTAACTCTGAACCAAATGTAACTGATTATTGTACATAACAGTGTATTTATGTACTAAACATATGACATACTAGCGTATTAGTCATACTGTACACATCAATTCATAATCCTTAATATCTTATAATTGATATTATGTTATTATATATATCCTCGTATCATTCATTATATGTATATATTTACAGTATGTGCACTTTTTTAATGTTTGCATTTTTGGTTGGATGCCATTTTGTTATACTGATACTGAATATTAATGATGATGGAACATACAGTATGAGCAGGTAGATTGAGAAAAGGTGGATTATTTAGGACAAAAGAAGATTTTAAAATGGTTGTATGAACTATTTGATGTGGTTCTTCCCATTGTGACATCTTACCTTGCAGGTAATCAGAAATACGGATGATGTGCTTATCGTTGTTATCTCAACATGACCCCTTGGTTCTCGTTTCCTCTCCCGTTTCTCCAGAGAGAAAGCCAATCTGGCGGTGACTCTGGCCAATGAGAGGGAGGAGATCCTGGCTCATGCTTCCTTCTTCGATCACCCTGTTGGAGACTTGGTGGATCAGACTCGCTGGGAAGCGTTCCTGCAGAAGCACTTCAGCGCTGAAACATGCACAGTCTGTACCGTTCATGAATTCAGATATTTTAGCGTGTCATTGTACTACACACATCTTTGGCTCGAGCAGACACCTGTTGAGAACACTTGCTAAAAGATCTTCCCTCCACAGCCTTTGAACACACTCTTCCTCCACTTCTTCGTGGCAGAGACGGATTTCGCCACAGCAAGTGTAAAAGAAATATTAAGGTATGAAAAAATAAAAGTAGATAAATCCTTTTCTGTGGAATTCTCATTTGGAATATTTAATTTTCCGAAAAATCTTGTTGTTTTTTTACAGTGTTATTCAACACTTAGAGGTGGGGTAGGTTATAATGGAGAAACCAGCTCGAGTGCGCTAGAACTTGAAAATACACAACCGTCCTTCAGACTTCCTTACAGAGCCCCTCCTCCAACACACACGAACGCGCACATGACCAATGAGGGCAGGAGATAAGTTTGTGCACAGATGGAAGGCTGACAGGCAGGTAGGCCATCCAGTTACTTTAGCCGGCTCAGATGATTGGTCGTGCTTTTTACAGCGCCACGGCTTCCACAGATGACATTGTTTTGTTTTTGGATTTGTTGTCAAAGCACTTCAGATATTCATTGCTATCGGGATGTTAAGAGCATTCCATGGAATATAACAAGCGTTCTGAAGTGAATGACCTACCCCACCTTTAATCATCAGAGGAATACATTTATTGCCATATTTGTCAGCACTTTTTTAGTTGTGTGTAGTGATTATAGACAGATGGACTGTTACACTGTCAGGGTTTCACTCCCAAATAACTACATTACGTTGATTATTATTAGATGACTCTAATGTGCTTCAGTAATCAGAATCAGAATTCCTTTATGAGTCCCACAGCAGAGACCTTTACAGTGACACAGAAGCCCCCACAGAGTACAGATTCACAGAGGTTAATGTAATGTCTGCCACATTAAATCCCTCGTTGCTTTGCTTGTTTTCACAGAGCTGTCTTTAACGCCGTCGCAGAGCTGGAATACATCCTCCTGCTCAGCCCGTACGCTGGGGTTTTAGGTGAACGGCTGCTTTAAATTCCTTTCTCAGTTCATCAGTTAAGATAACATGTACTTTATTCATCACAATGTGGGAGAAACTTATGTTGCAGCAGCAAAAAACAAAACAAGGCATTGCACATAATAATAAATTAAAAGAGTAGAAATAAACTGTTGGGAAAATAATGAATGTCCTCTTCCAATATGAGAGTGACATGATAACAAAGGTATCCCAACTGTAGCTGTGAACATGACAGGATGTGTGATTACCTAGAAAATGTCAGAATTTTGAGAGAAAATGTCAGGATTTTGAGATTTTGAGAAAAAGCTAACATTTTTAGATTTTGAGAGAAACTGTCAGAATTTGGAGAAAAAGTCAGAATTTTGAGAAAAAGTCAGAATTCTGAGATTTGGAGAAAAAGTTAATATTTTTAGATTTTTAGGGAAAATGTCAGTTTTGAGATAAAGTCAGAATTTTGAGAGAAAGCCTGAATTTTGAGATTTTGAGAAAAAGTCAGAATTTGTGTATATGATGACTACTTCCATTCTTGAGAGAATCATACATACATGGATCCTGATGTTGAAGCTCAAGCTGGTGACCAGTGAGATTTTTCTAACAGAAACAATTAAACATTAGAAAACAAAAAGAACCCAAAAGAGTGTTGTGTTGCTGTTTGTGCAGAGGAGGCTCTGGAGGAGGTGTTTGATCCTCTGCAGCGTCTGACTGACCTTCAGTGCTCAGCGTTCATCTGCCACAGACAAGAGCACTGTCCGAAGCTTCTCATCCGCCCCGCCAGGTGGGTTCACCTCCTTCCTTCCCCCTACAATTACGTAAAATATATGTTTGGCTCAAATGCGTACAGTACACATTCATATAGGGCAGTGGAAGACATCCATGGAAACGTTTGTCTTTGTTTTTTAGCATGTTATGAAAAATTACGATTTGTTTAAATTGGGTCTGAAACCTTTCTATTGACTGCTGCATTCCCATCTAAATACATTTTATTATTATACCTCTGGACTTCTTGCAGAGTCAGTCTACTATCTCCAATGTTTTAACCACCTTCTCTCTTGTTTTCCGTTTGATTTGCTCTGTATCTAAACGCTTATGAAATGCACTTTGAGTTGCCTTTGTGTCTGAAATGTGCTATATAGATAAATTAACTTTAACAGTTAAGTATCAAGCACACATATTGTTGAAAATAGTGAATTTGTCAGCAGAATTCAATAGATGTTGATCTTTTGTGTAAGTGGGTAAAGTTGAAGCTGCATTGATTATTTTGTGTCCACTAGGGGGAAGAAGAACTCTCAACAAGATGATACATGTTCCTTACATCCGAAAAGATGACCTAAAAGAAGCTTAAAAAAGCAGCTGAGTCATAATTATGAGTTGTTTGAGGACTATCAGCCGGCCTTCTGTTATTAGAGAGTGTTTTGATTCCTTTTAATAGGATTGGTGGCGAGTTAAGGTGAATGCTCCTTCTGTTTTGTGCTCCCCAGGGTTGAAGACCATGATGATTTGATGCGTATCTTTGTGGATCAGACCAAAGTCCTGTCCGTCATGGAGCAGCCGTACTTCCTGGCAGAACTGATCCAGGAACAGAACGAGGAGAACCACTGCGCCGTTTGTGAGGTTTGTTCACACACATTTAAATACACAGACTAACATGTGTTTGTTGTATTTATTGAATTGTATTGGACACGTTCTAGTACGAGGTAAATCCTACACCGCAGATTTTACAACTACAACATAATAATAATAATAATTATACAGCAAAAAGATGAATTGACCAACATGTCCGATCTATTTGTTAAAGCAGTATGCAGTACATCCTCTGACAGCTTGTTCCTTGTTCACAGCACTAATTGTGTTTTATCTTTTTAAATAATTCAATTTGAAAACACACCTATTATTCTTAAAGAGGATGATCCTCAACGTCTCCTGTATTCTACTGTAGGCAGGGGCGCAGGAAGGGGGGTGCTGAGGGCGCTGCAGGGCCCCCTAGCGGCAGGCAGGCGGAGCTCCTCTGTCTGCACATTTTATTATAATTATTTTTTTTATTTCATTTCATTGTGCCTGAGCAGGAAGCGTGAGCCAGGATCTCCTCCCTCTCATATGCCCTGGCCAACATGAGGGCCCACGCAAAGTTATATGATGAGGCCCTCTGTTTCGCGAGCGTCATTGTCCCGGGGGGGGCGAAACCACGCCACACTATTGCGCCGCATAAGGCCCCCTCCGCAAGGTGAGGCCCCACGCAGTCTGCATGATCGGCCTGTAGGGAGGGACGGCCCTATATTATTATTCAAATGATAATTTTAAACTCTATAATAAATAATTTAGCTTCAGGGAAGGAAAATGTAAAAGATGTGGAAAAAACATCTAGTGTCTAAAAAGTGTTTTGTTGTGACGCACAACACAAGTGACAAGTAACTGACATGGCGCAAAAACGTATCTCGGAATTCTTTCTCACAAAAAACGCTGAAATTGAAGATGCAGGGGCGGGGCATCATTACGCAGAAGGTGTGTGTGTGT